TAGATATTGTCCCGTCCATGTGCACTTGTGGTGTACAGTCCTACGAGGCATTCCGTCATGCCTACTTGGGCTTGGAAACGACCGCCTGTATCCCCCGCCTAATCCACTCGAAGAGACATTGCTACTACAGGCTGTCTTTTGCTTTTTACAATGTATTGAAAAACAGTGATTGTGGTTGGAGATTTTATTTGGCTGATTTTCTTCAGTTAGAACTGGATGGTCATCACTCCTGCGTCTCAGCAGTTTCAGTGATCTTATTTTCGTTACTTTTCCCCACCTGTATTTACTACTGATATAGTTGCACATGAAATGTTTCATGGAGGAGGAAGTGATCAATCAAACAGCTGCGATGTTGGGGTTCGAACACGTGTCATCTAGGGCAATACATTCGATGATCATAACTATTTGCTCAAAGCCCCTTTTCGTATCAGCTTTGAGTCGGTATGAGCTGGAGCACTTCACTTCTTCAAGACTGGTGGTCTCGTTACTGAATTTATGCGTGCGCTGTGATGAATTCCGGGCAAACAACGAATATCAACCGATTCGGCCAACCCCTGTTTTGTCAGTAGAGATAGCCCCCACAATTTCGGCAATATGCCACGCAAAGCACGCAGAGAGAAACTAAAATATGGTGCCCACGTACTGATTACAGGTTCATCAATTGATGAATATTTGGTTGTTTTGTGATTCCCAAATTCATTCAGGGTTACGTTTAGAAACCAACAGAAGGCAAGTATTAATCACCATTCATTTGTCATAGTTCTGACCCATTTCTCCCCATCTTTTCATTTGGTTTGTACATCGTTTTTATTCCATACATAAGGCAAACACTGTAATCGAATCCTTTTTGTGAGATTGATCTCGCGGTTCAAAACGCATATCACTTGATACCCGAGTCCGCCCCCCCCGGTGCCATTTGTCTTGGGCAAACTGAATTCTGCAGGCAAGCGAGCAGTTGACCGTAATGGAATCGGTGAGGCACGTGTGTTCCGCTTTCTCTCTGTCCCTCGCTCTCGAAAGATTTGTGTGTGTGCTTAACTACGTCTGGCCCTGTTTGGGGTGCTTTCTTTTTTGGATAGTCCTTGTGCTTCGGATCATTCCTTGATAGATGACCTCATAATTCAAGGAACTTTTGATAGTCGCACCTATAGGGTGTGACGACGACAAAAGGTTGATTGGATCAATCTGATAGATACACGGCCAATAAATCACAGCATGAATCCGATGTACGTAGACAGGAATGGACGATGATCGATCTAATCGCGACAGATGGAACACTATAGACTGATCTTCATATGAGGTGAGGAGGTGGGACAATAAACACGCATGATATCCCTGGTGGATCAGAGGCACAGATGCAGTCATGCTGAAACCAGATAACACTAAAGTACATTGAGACTCGTACAGTATGATCATTGCGGGAACAGTGTTTGATAAAAATTGACGAACTGCGTGACCGAATCGGAAGGAGACATGGTGCTGACTGACAAAGGCACTAAGAAAAACTCGTGAAACTTAAATACTATAGGCTCGATCCCCAGTGGGTTCCATGGATTCGCATCGCTGATGAGACCCTACGGGTGGAAACAGCTGTCCAGTGCTTCCTAGCTTTTCACTTCACGCTTCATTTGCTCTATACACGACGAATTCACCTTTGTACTATAGTTGGCAATACAAAATATGACCAAATAATCTTTGAACCCTTCGCTCGTCCCCACACACCATAAGTTTTGCGGTGTGAAATCTCCGAGAGACAGAACCAAAACAAATGCCTAATCGTGTTGAGCCGCGTCAGAAAATACTACATCGTACAACTGTAAATAGCACGCAGCTTGTCTGTCAAAACAACGATAAAAAGGCAGATTTTCGCCCCGACGAGGACCCCCCTCCTCCCTCGTCGGGGAACATTACAACTTTGGGTGCCCGGGGAGGGGGAGGCAGTGGTTGCAGTTGTTAAACAATTAACAATGTAATTTTACAAACAAACATCCGGTAAATTTTCAAAACGGAATGAAAAATGTAATAACACCTGTTTTTAAAACTAGATTGCAATCCAACATGAATACAATACACGAATCACTGTCAGGATAGAATGATTGACTAGTAGATGTAGTGGGTGGCAGTTATTGAAACCACAAGTAAGCTACACACTATATATAAGTGTTCAACAAACATGTTGTAAACCAAAAAACAGGCTATCTAAACCCTTATTAAGAAGAGTGTTGGATGGCAACCTAATAGTTTTATTTTAACGCTCATGTGTTTTTTCCGCGGATACTGTTGAACACTTCCGTCTACAAACGCCGCGGTTGTGGTGGACGAAATTCGAGTCGAGATTCGGTTGTGGTGGTTTCACAACCCAGACAACTGTATTTTTGTGAGTTGCAAACCTTTTCTTGAACATTTTCAGTAACAATTTAAGTCACGTCAAGTCATCCACTGTGGACGAAATTTTCAATCAGCTCAATCTTGGAGCTGTGACATTCAATAGATAAGGCAGGATGATGTGGAGGAAGACTGCGTAACAAAAGTGCAAACAGCAGCACGGAAATTAAGAAGCAACTGTCTCAAAGTTCCTTTGATATTCGTTACCTGGAAACCAATAAACAAGAAATATAAGGAACAACATGTGTATGAAAAGATGTGGTACAAGGGTAAAATGGTTTAAATTTATTGCGTCTGACAGAAATGGAGAAGGAGCGAGAAAGAGAGAGAGGAAGAGGGTCGAGTATAGTGGATGTGATGCATTAGGTAATATTGAGTCACCCAAACGGTCACATACCTTAAGGTGTTAGTTGATAATAGACCCCACCAGCACCACTTAAGGGGCAATTTCGTATGTGGAGATGTTCTTTAGAGAGCGTCCGATGAATATGAACTCCTGAGACAACATACGGGGAAAGATAACGGGAGAGCATTAGGTTCATTTGTAATTGTATAACTTTTGCAAACTGAGGTTGGAAATTGTACATAAAATTGACATCAACCATCCAAGAAAAGAAATTAGGAAATTATGTACATCGACCCGCCTCAGTTATCGATGATGCGAGATGTAAAGCATCAAAGTTCTAAATTTAAAAAGTGTTTGCTCTACTTGTTAGGACCATTTGAGGTCAGCAATCAGAAAACATACAAGATCTGTTAGATGCTCTGACCATTTTACGTTTAAATTGTTAACCAGCATGTTGGTAACAGGCGATCTGGGATGTGTAGATAGCATGCTATTATTGGAAGATAAAACTTCCGTGCATTTGGTTTAATTTAAGGAAAAGCGAAGAGCATCGAACCATTCAGAATGCAGAGTAAGGAAACAACCTAAAAAATAATTTTTCAAAATAGATATAACGGTGAAAGGCGTCAGCGAAATACTCCGAAAAGAGGAAATCTTTGAAACTAGAATTTTGAAAGCTACCTAACTTGTGAGAGCGAACGTGAAAATCGGTCTTTTCTCCCTACCGAATCACCATGATCACGTGATCAAGGTCACGGTTGTTGTAACGCAGATTACCACAAATCCTTATGTCACCAGTTACAATCACATGAATTGTGCCACTAGTTGTAACAGTTGTAACCCACCCGGTTGGCGCCACGCAAACGGAAAAACTGGATTGTGCATCCAAGTGCACCCTATTTTGATGACAGCAAGTTCACCGCTGCCGTCGGTTTGCTGCTATGATATTCAGTATCTCCAACTATCCAGCTACTGAGTCTTTTGGACTCCTTAAGACGAGATACACCTACTCTACCTAATCGCTCCGTGCATTTCTTCGTGCCAAGTATCCACGTCATCTGCTGACCTCCACGTGGCTTTCTCCAGCCTGCAATAGCCGCTGAAAATGAGGTGCGGTGTGGCAGGCGACCGTCCGACATTCGCAAACTGGTCCTTACCAACGGAGCCCTATTGAGCTAAATGTAATGCAATAGTGAGTTGATGATCGACGCATTCTCAAACACCCGATGACTTACTTCTACGTCACTAACCCGCTCACTCCATCCCACCTAGGTCAGATTATGTGAGCATCGATTGTCAAAATCCACTAGGCGACACATGTCTTCTAACCGAAAATTCAAAGTCTCAACCGTACTTACTGTTACTAATGGATACCTTACTTGATGATCAAGATATCAGTTGCACTATACGTTTCCGATGTGTTGTCATGGACGATTTAAGCTATGACGGCGGTGGTTGTTGTCACCCGCGGTTAAGGTGACATAATTATTTCTCAGACAACCCTGGGTAGTTATGTGGGCATTACGTTTGTGAGTCGACACACATGAAATTTTAAAGACCCCAGGCTATTTGTTCATGAATTACACCTCCGGCACAGATAAAAGACGTGTGTATCATCACACTGGTTGTTCTCTGTTTCTGATAAATGTATACCCCAGAATTGTTGTATCCATTCCAACCTAAGCAGTTCTTCCTTCTCAAATCTTTCGTGCATACAAAGACGTTGATGGAGTGGACTTATTAAATCACACTGGCTTTCGCTAAATCTGTTACGGTTAACATACGGCCGCCCTCGGAGCGCTTTTCTTTTTATGTACTCTGCAAAAATGCTCACCTCAAACCCGGGTAGAGTTTACGCTTCAGTTAGTTCCACATAGAGAGCACTGGGTGGAAATAGGATGATTCCGCTCATTAATCTCTTGTCCTACTCTATCAGGGCCGTTCGTTTTTTTCTTTGTATAGTTGTATGCGATGAGCAAAGTCAGAGAAAGTAAGAGAAAATTACGAATGGGTGGTTAATTGTTTTATTTTCACCTCGAATCCGTGTTATGTGAATGTGTTGTTTTTGCATATTGGGTGAAATGCAGAAATGCCGAGGCAAATGGTGAAATCGTCCGGATAATGATGATGATGATGATGGTGATGAGTGTGATGATGATGATGATGATGATGATGATGATGATGATGATGATGATGATGATGATGAGGATGATGATGATGATGATGATGATGATGATGATGATGATGATGATGATGATGATGACGATTCATGATGATGATGATGATGATGATGATGATGATGATGATGATGATGATGATGATTCGGATTGATGATGATGATGATGATGATGATGATGATGATGATGATGATGATGATGATTTGGATGATTTGCATGATGATTCTGATTCTGATTCTGATTCTGATGATAATGATGATGATGATGATGATGATTCGGATGATGACGGTGATGATGATGATGATACTCCTTTTGACCTTATTTTTATTTTACTTTAAATGAAGTTTATGATTGGATGCCAAATGGAAAGGTTTACTCATTCTAATGTTGCCTAGAAAGGTGTGTGTGTGTGTAGGGAATCGTTCAAAGTAGCTAAATCTACATAAATCTTTTCAGTTGAAGCATTACGTCCACAATAAATATTAAAGGAGACTTCAGGAGAATATTTTTGTAAGTTAATGACTACGAAAGAGAGAACCTATCAGTCATGTGTTCAGTACGTCAAACAGGCATTGAAAACCACCAAGCCCTCAGAAACTGTTCACTTGTATGCATTTGACGAATGTCAGAGCTGAGGAAAAGAATGTCACAGAACGACTACACATACACCTCTCTCTCCGGGCTGGGAACGTACCATTCCTCTCACCCAAATTTTGCTTCCCTTTACGTTGTGCTTGAAAAATTAGTTGGCTGATCCGCCCACCTCAATCTTCTCCGGGATGCTTCGGTGAATCAGTCATTATTAGAGCTCAAAACTACAAGCTGGTAGAAATAAAGTGAAATAGAGAATGGATTTCCGAATTTAAAGTGTGTAATTGTGTTCGCCTGATTAGGACGAATGATGAGGTATTCAGTTTGTAACAACAGAGAGACAAAGTTGTACCTGGTAGTAAATATCACTGTTTTCTAATTGTCGTAAAGCGTCTCACACGTATTGGTTGTCAAACCAAAGGTGTGGTTCAGTTCTATTATGGCATTTGGGGTTCTGATCACGAAGACTCACGAATGAGCGGACAAAGAATGGCTTGTATTTAAGTCGGCAAAATGACCAGACAAAACATTGAAAAAAGGAAAAAACTTGTGATTACTATGTTTAGTCTTAAAAAGCACCAATCGAAGCAAACGCTTTGTTTATTCTAGTTATACAAAGCGGTTGAAGCCATTGCCTACTATAACACCACCCCGAGAATAACTATTTCGTGGAGTCGAGCGACGAATCCCTCACGAGCTACACTTGCATAATGAAGTAGCCATCACGTGACAACTGGCGCATATTCGACTTGGGGAACGATCTTATTTTTTCGCAAAATCGCGGCTGGAGTAGGGCCGGATTCGCGACGGTCCGTTCGATTAGATAACCAACCATTTTCGCCTAACCAGAGTCGAGGTGGTTTCATTAGACGAGACAGGAGTGGACTAGGGTATCAGTTGGTGTGCTTCGAAGCGCAGTCAATCGGAACGGTGTGCAAGGATGCGTTAGAAGGACGGTCTGATTGATCATGCAAACAAAGAGGAGTGAAAAACACAAATGCGGCCGTGAAATCAGTCATCCCGTTTATCATTTCAGAATGTAAAGTGTGGGTACTGTACTATACATTGCTCGGCAGAAATAATGGTCCTGAGTCTCGTCAGGGGAAACTGCACAGAATTTCGGGAAATATATACATATATATATATATCCCGAAATTCCGAGCATATATATATATATACATTTGCGGGTAACTCGGGGAAGCAAGCTCAACTTGTTTGGATGGATTTGGTTGTTTTGACTTTTGCATTGCTCATTCTTATGTTCCCGCAAAAGCTGGTCCTAAAATTGAGACAAGAAGCAAACAAACAGTGGACAAAAACAAAAGAACTATTACAAAATGAAACAGATCAGTGCCGCGAATATGTGATTTGAGCATACAGATGACAATCAAACTTGCTGGATATACAAAAGCATGAATTTGACATTAAGCGTTTTTCAGTTGTGCCGGATTTGCTTATTTGTGCACATTTTATGGAGCTTGCACACAAGGGACATCGATATCAATCAAGAACTACAAAATGACAATTAAATTGATGAGGTTACGCCTAATGTGAAAGCAGTCATTACAGGATTGTCCAAAAGACTAATTGACTTCTTCCTTTTTCAAATAGTTTATGAATCAAAGTAGGAAAAAGTGAGATGCTGGATATGTTTCGTTTTGGAATGATTGTGTTCAAAGAAAAATATTGCAATTTGATCCACCAGTAGGTCAGTATTGCTTGAAGATTCTCAAAACGGACAGCCACATGCTGATCAAATCGACTGTAGTTTTCAATTCTGTACGGTGGGTTTCTGTGTGACTGAGATCTTCATGATACCGCTTCTTCATGAAAGACTGATCATTCATGTGTGCTCGCATGTGGCTTTAATGTATTTCAATAAGCGATTGTTGTTCAGCGGCGTTCAAGGGGCTTTCACCTTTACTCAAATGCTGTGTGCTCCACCACCATTACCACCACCACTACCTTTCATCAGTCCCAATAATACATGTCCCAAAGTAACCTTTAATTTAGTTTGCGGTATTCGATATGATAAATGATTCATATATTCAATAGACCACTTATCCTAAATAAATAGTGAATAAACTCCAAACATGGGACTAAATTAACCCGCTATCACATTGTTGGCTAACTACATCGTGCTTCCAGTGGAAATCAAAGTCACATCGACTGCGTACCATCGAATCCAAACACCAAAATTAGTTGCTGATCGTTTCCTTATTCAGTAAAATGTCATCGATTTAGGAGTACTGTTCAACAATGAGGCTCCGAACAAACAACCACAATGCAGTCACGTGACGATGGCAGTTGTGATTGATGGTCTACATGGCAGCACATTTCATAGCTTAGACACAAACTTTTTTTATCATGTTGGAGATTGTGGAGCGACACAGGCGTGAAAAGTTTCAAGGTGTTGCATAATACTTATCATATATTGTTTTACAGAGTAGACATGACCTTTAACATAATCTGTTGCACCCCGAACTATCCAAATGACTATATGTCGTTCTTTCACGTGTCCCAATCCCACACAGGCTTCATAAATCTTGAGAATAACATTATAAATTTGAATAATCCCATCCAGAAATTAAACTGGAATGCAACAGCGGGTCTGGCGGACAAATAAATGTTTCCAGTATATCACGTTCTAGCTCATATACAGTCCACAGAAAGATTTATGAACCAGAATCATGTGGCCTGAAAAATGCAGTTGGGGGGCTGGGTTTGGATTAGATTCGTATACTGGTCATGACTACGTCATGACAGTCACACGAGGCGGATCAGAATCAATGCGTTATGGTAGAGCGATTGACTGACGGCCAAAAGGATTGCAAAGCCTAGAATACTTTTTTTCTGTTTGTACAGGTAGGTGTAAAGAGGTGGATGAAAATCTTCTCTGAAATGGTAATTGCCTGAACAAATGTGTTTGGGGGAGGGTATTTCGAGTGCATTCATTACACAGTGTTGAATATCGATTCAATTGATTGACTGTTTCACCGGGTCTCTTATTGGTATTGTGATGTCATTTGTAAATAATGCTATCGACAATAATGATAACAGAATATCTCCTTCAAGTTCCAAATAAGGAAAATTGTGTCAAAGTGTTGTGAAAGTGTTTCAAACTGCTTTGGCTCATCTTGAGCTGTGCAGCGTTTTTCGTTGATGATGGTGATGACTGGCACAGCCAAAAAAAGCCGCTTTTTTAAACGAATTTCATTCACAACGTTGGAGATTGATAATTGTCAAACCTGGCTGCATACACAGCTTGAAATAAAACCGATATCCTTATTTGATCATCCAAGAACGAAAATTAAACTCGCATACTTCTTGGTTTGAAAACGCATTTGTCATACAAGTTAGTATCGGTATTCTTGTTGAGTCTAAACTATTTCTCATGTTAGTCCATCTCGTTTCGTGATGAGACGACAAAATATAGCAGTGTTCTTGCTGTCATTGGCAATCAGTGTTTGTGTGCGGAGTTCAAAAAATTTACGTTCCGTCTGACTGATACAGTGTCCGTTAGTTATATTTCACTGGGTGCCAACTTCATTCCAATCGATACTGCTTATTCCCGGACTTCAGTTATCAGCTCGAAAATATTTTATTCACAACATATGATCAATAGAAACATTTGGATCCCGTAATGAATTTGAATAGACAAGTCAGAAGACAGACACTGCGAGACGAACGCATTCTCGGTTTTGTTACGTCATCGAGACAAACACCGACCAAGGATCCTCGAGGCATTATCGATCGCTCTCAACAAACCCACACTGTGCATCCAAAAACGTATGA